GGGGCGGGCACCAACCTGCGGGTCTCGGGGGGGTGGGGAAAGGGCTGTACGTGTGTATATACGGGGGTGTGTGTGTGTTGTTACACACACGTGTGCATCTGTGGGGCTGGGTGGGTGTGCTTGCGGGCGTGGGGTGCGGCGGTGCGTTGTGCGGGACAAGAGGCGTGAGGCTGCGGGGAGGCTTGATGCGCCCCGCCCGGCGTGGACGTTCACCTGTGGGTATGGGGGTGCCTTGGCACCCCACGCATCAGCAGTGCACCCCCTGCACAGGGGCACGCACACACACACACACACACACGAGAGAACAAGCCGTGCAAACACAGGCGGTCACAGCCAGGCAGGCGGCAGCACGGCAGTGCCGAGGTGTGGCTGTGAAAAAGACTGAGGGTGATGGAGTCCACTGAAAATAGGGACTATTTCCCCCAGAAAGTCTCACTCAAAGATGAGTATTTCGTTTTATTCTAGCATCCTAAATTCTCAAAAGTTCTCAAGATTATATTTTGTGATTGAACTGTAGCCGTCCCACATTTTTATAATACATAGAATCATAGAATGGTCAGAGTTGGAAGGGACCTTAGAGACCATCTAGTTCCAACCCCCCTGCCATGGGCAGGGGCACCTCCCACCAGAGCAGGTTGCTCAAAGCCCCATCCAGCCTGGTCTTGAACACTTCCAAGGATGGGGCATCTACAGCTTCTCTGGGCAACCCCTTGTCCTGTCACTACACTTTCTGACAAAGAGTCCCTCTCCGGCTCTCCTGTAGGCTCCCTTCAGATATTGGAAGGCTGTTGTGAGGTCTCCCCGGAGCCTTCTCTTCTCCAGGCTCAACAACCCCAGCTCTCTCAGCCTGTCCTCATAGGGGAGGTGCTCTGTCCCTCTGATCATCTTTGTGGCCCTCCACTGGACCTGTTCCAGCAGATCCATGTCCTTCCTGTGTTGAGGACTCCAAAGCTGGACACAGTACTCCAGGTGGGGTCTCACGAGCACAGAGTAGAGGGGTAAACATGTGATAGTAAACATGGCAAATGTGTGAGACACAGAAATTACACGCAACGCCCAGGGTTATGTGCAGGGGCTGCAGCAGCTTTAAACCACACTGGGTCCTAGGGCTCCAGGTCAGCTTAACTGGTGCCCACACAGTTACACACAGGCCACTGGGGCAAACAACTGTTGGTATTAGTTTGTGATGGTGTCACGCAGATGATCAGGACGGCATGTGGAGGAGCTTCTGCAGCCATTCCTACCAGCTCAGTGGCACATGCAGGGAGCTTAGCAGGGAACAAGAAGGACATACAACTCACACCATTTTTCAGCCACGAAGATAGGAGTCTTGGCTTGTCAGATATCCTCAAGCTTACTCACATAAGGTCAAGCAGAGCAGAAGCTGACCCTCTCCTCTCTGCAGTCTGTCATCAAACCATACCTTGTGTGTCCTCCCTCATACCTAGATATTGCAGAAGCTCATTTCTTATACCATAGCACACCATACCATACCCCTACCGCCTCCAAAGAACCAAACCCTGAGCCATGCACTTACACTAAGGCAGCAGCACCCTGGCAAGGCCAACCATACCTATCCCTTTGCTGTGCTAGGTGTATGTAACATTGTGTGCCTCCATAAATACATATGCCTTTGCTTTGTTTGCATGTTCACCCTAGAAAAGTGGCAAGGAGGGGGCTGGTTGCCACATGTATGTGATACATCCATGTGTGTTAGACAAATAGCATTTTAGCCAAACAGGAAAAAATGTGATGGCTGAAAACTTCTTGTGGACAACACGCCCTACCTGCTGTGTTCCTGATTTTTTGCTGGGCCAGAGAAGTCATGTTTTGGGACATTCTCACTGCCAACATGGGATGCAAATGTTCCCAAACATCCTCCCCTTAGTCATTTGACCATGAAAGATAGTTTCTGACACATAGATCAGGTAAGTGTAGTAGATGAACTTGAACTTGTTCCTGAGCTCAGAGGGGAAAATAAGTTCCAGTCACCCAAACAAGGAGTGAAAAAAAGAGTGTTGTAGGATTTGTGTGACGAGCTGGAAAAGACGAGCAGGGAATGACTGAAAAAAGAAGCCATAGATGGAATATAAATTTTCCACACAATTCAGCACATACTTACTTAATAGTGAAAGAATAGAATTGGGGCACAAACAGCTGATCTAGTAAGCGATGGGCTACATTAGGAAGAAATCACACAAATGAAAGTGCTACAGAATTTCAGGGGCTCTGGGGACATCCTTCTTGGATTTTCTGCCTTTTAGTCACCAGCTAGAGTTTAATGGTGACCGTGCTGCCGAGCAAGCCTGTGGCACCCCTGCTCCACCCAGCAGAGAGGGGCTCCTCACCTGCTGAACTCCGCGGGTTGTGAGAGGGAGCAATTACATTTCTGTCCCGTTGCGCTCTGCTGAACAGGGGGATTTTTTTTTTGGCAAAGGTGGGGGGCGTCCCCCTGACATTAGAGATAGCTCTTCTTGGTAGTAAGTGTGTCATCTTTCTTCCACAGCAGGATCAGTCCCAACGTATAGATTCATCTCCATTTCCACACTTCAGCATCTTCCTGCACCCCTTTTGTGTAAAACACTAAATACATGTGTACGTGTGCGTGCACATATGCACATACATATACATGTACATGCATGTGTACATGCATGTGTACATATACATGTACGTATATGTGTATACCTATGTGCCCAAATACGTGAGCACGCATTAACAAATACGCCTCCATGCCCCATTATAAAGAAAAGGCTGTCAAGGCTTGGTATCGCAGGGTGAATTTAAAACAGCATCACTGCCTTTAAAGCCGTCCAGAAAAGGGAACTCATAAATGAGAGGATGAATGAGAAGATGTCAGGAGTGTTAGCACTTAATATTCCTGGAGCGAGGCTGCGTTATTTGTTGCTGCGGCAGAGCGCTCCTCCCTGCCCTACCCCCCCCCCAGCCATGCACACACGCACGCACCTTCATTTCCCACCCTCATGTGAAAAACCAACCTCCTTGGCACACCCTGTGCCCTCACCCCGTAGGTGTCGTGCCACAGGGCCATAAACATGGCAGTGAAGCCTCCCTCCACCCTGATTAAGAAATAAATGATTGCAGCGCAGCCCCTGGGAGGGGGGGCGTCCGCCGGTTGGGCCCATGTTTTATTGATCGGGCCGCTGTGATGAATCAGCCCCCGCGGAGCCAGTGTCTGGCTGCAGACAGGCACTGGCCACCACGCAGAATTACAACGAGCCCTGCCTGGCATCCCAGGGCCACCACCAGGAAGGTGGCAGAGCGGGGAGATGCGGGGCTGGTGGCCAGGGGGGAACCCTGTGTGAAGGTGGGAGCCATGCCCCTGTGCCGGGTGGCCAGCAGCTCCCAGCTGGAGGCATGGGGAGGGATGGGGTCAGCAGCTGGGATTGAGCCTTCCCACTCGCTCCATGCCCTGTTTCTCCAGTCTGGATATTTCATAGAATCATAGAATGGTTTGGGTTGGAAGGGACGTCAAAGATCATTTAGTTCCAACCCCTGCCATGGGCAGGGACGCCTACCACTAGAGCAGGTTGCTCAAAGCCCCATCCAGCCTGGCCTTGAACACCTCCAGAGATGGGGAATCCACAACTTCCCTGGGCAACCTGTTCCAGTGTCTCACCACCCTCATAGTAAAAAATTTCTTCCTGATATCTAATGTGAATCTTTTTTCTTCCAATTTAAAACCGTTTCCCCTTGTCCTGTCATTACCCTTCCTGGCAAAGAGTCCCCCCCCCAGCTCTTCTATAGGCACCCTTCAGATATTGAAAGACAGAATGGTTAGGACCAATGGAAGGGACCTCAAAGATCATCTAGTGGCAACCCCCCTGCCACGGCCAGGGGACACCTTCTCCTAGACCAGGTTGCTCAAAGCCACATGCGGTGGGAGCACTGGGCGGGAGGGGAGGATGCTGAGGAGCTGGCAGGCAGAAGCCTAAGTTGGTCTGGATGGAGGCTCACCAAAGTGGGAAGGGGGCTGTGCCCTGCAGCCCCAGCCCTTGGCCGCAGGAGCAGCCCGGGAGCGAAGCGCCGTGTCCCTGTGTTACCCTGGTCTTGCCCAGCCGTGTGTAATCTTGTCCTCTTTTCTCTCCCTTCTCGCACCCTGCAGGACCCGGCACAGGGAGAGTAGACAACGGCTCCATGAGTTTGGCCGTCCCACTGTGGCTGCTGGCAGCGTCCCTTCTCTGCCTACTCAGCAAATGTTAATACAGATCAGAATTAAAAATAATAATAATAATAATAATAATTAAAAAAAAAAAAACCAACACGACAACAACAACGACAACACACAAAACAAAACGCGTTATACAGGAGACAGAGCGAAGAGAGGGGAGAGAGAAAAAAGAGAGGGGGAGGGGGAGAGAGAGAGGACTGTTTCTTTCACAACTTTTGTGTGTTCAGGAGCGAAGAGGGGGGAGAGGAAAAATTACAGCAAAGAAGACTCAGCAACATTTAATCCGAAACCTGACAAGCCGGCTGTCAAGTCACTGACCGACAAGGAGGCAACACGAAGCAAGGGAGAGAATGGGACACCAGCAAGGATCGTGTCGCCGGAGGATGCTGCAGTGCAAACAATCCAACAAAACCTGCAAAGCCAATCAAAACAGAAGATCCCTTTTTTTTTTTCTCTCCTCCTTCCTCTTTTCCATGCTCCCTCACCTTCCTTCCTTCCTTCCTCCTCTTTCTTTCTTTTGCAGAAAGAGGTCTTTGCTTCGGTGTCTATAGCCACTTAACTTTTTGGATGCCCTGGGTCATTTTTGTGAGCCACTGCTCAGCCAGTTCATACTTTTGAAAACAAACAAACAAAAAAAAAAGATAAAAAGAAAAAAAAAAAGCCACAAACCAGAGTAAGTCACCTGAAGCTCTCTGCACACTGGTGTCCTGTGAAGAACCCCTTCTTCTCTTTGCTTCACCCTGTGCTCGTGTGCACCCAGCCTTTGCTAAACTCCTTCTTTCTTGTCCCCCTCCTTCATGCAAAATCACTCTCACTGGCCTGAACTAAAGCTGTGTCAACTCTACTCAAAACATACTTTTCTTTCGTTATTTTTTTTTCAATCCTCTCCCTCTCCCACCTCAATTTGACCAGGTGTCCTCCTCTTTCTCCCGTGTATGCCTGTGTGCGTGCGTGCATGTGTGGCTCGCGCTCCGTCTCCTCTCTTTCTCTTGTTCTCTCTAAGCATGCAAAAGGAACAGTCCATGTGTACGTATGCTCATCCTGCTGTAGATAATGTCCTGCCTTCTAAGTGTGAGACAAGATGCTGAGAGATCACTCAGGCAGAGAAGAGGGTCGAGGGGAGAGGGGCAGCTGCAACACAGGTTCCCGTGGTGTCCCCTCTCCGCCATCCTCACTGGCTTTTTGACTCATGGTCACCTTGCTTGCAAGAGGCAGTCTGCACTTTTTGTTTAGCCTTTTTTTTTTTCTCTCCCACCTGCAACCTGTTTGGCTTTCAGCCTTCCAGTACCAGCATAGCAGCCCCTGCTATGTATGAGTGCTTGCACACATGCTTGGGGGTGTGCACACGTGTGCATTTGTCCAAATAAACAGAAGAAAACAGGACTGGCCTGCAGCACGACAGAGCACAGAGGGAAAAGGGACGGGGGGGCACTGGGATGTGAGCAATGAGACCTTGGCCATCATGGAGCAGCCATTCTTGTAGGTAAAGTGTGTGTGTAGGAATGATGCCTCGACGTGAAAACCACAATCTGGTCATTCCCAACCGTTTTTTTAGTCATGCAAAAATAGAGCCAATAGCCTTTTTTGTTGTTGTTCTTACTGTCCTCCCTGTTATAAAAGGAAACGTACGCTGTGTAAGGGTCAGTGTGCGGGTATGGCTGTGTGTATATTTTACACCATTGCTACTACAAAGCTCACTTTTCAAATTCCACATTCAAAACAGATTGGGTCAGAAAGTGTCCAGGACCTGTGAATGGAAGAAGAAAAACAAATTTCAGGTTCAAAATCCTGGGCTTATAAAGAAGGAACTTAAAGTGGTGCAGCAAAGAAGCAGGCAGCACAATTCCCCCTTGCTCGCTCTTCTCATCTGAAGGCTGCTGCTCTTGCCAGAGAGGGTGACCCCCTCCCATGGCAGAGTCTCGTGTAAAGATGCCAACAGGAGATGCTCCTGAGAGAGGAGAATGAGAGCGAAGGAACAGGCTGTGTGAGAAACAGGTTAAGAAAATGCTGGGTGGTGGCTGGAAATTGCTGCACCAGCAACAGGTCTGCTGCAGGGGACAGAAGGAGCAGTGGAGAGAGGAGGCCGACAGTCGTACGCTCCAGTGGCTGCAGCGCGTGTGTGTGGGTTGGGGCAGTGGGGAGAAGCCTCCTGTGCTTCCAGGCCAGTCACAAGCCCTGGCATCCACAGCAGCAACAATGGTAAAACATGGTGTTTATCAGGTAGCCACTCGTTTTTTTTGGGGGGGAGGGATGTGCAGGGAGGAACTCGAGTTAGCCCACGCAAGTTGAGTGACCATCCCGTGGCAGTGCAGTGTTTCACAGGTGCTTGGCACCATGGAGCTTGCTATTCTGTCACCCAGTGACAGCAGCACCCCTGGCAGCCATGCTCGCACGCCATTGAAGGCAAGGGGGGAAAGAGCTGTGGCGTGTGGGAGGAGATACCCACCGGGTGATCCCCTGCCAGGAAGGAGAGTGGGAATTGCTGTCCGTGAGCCCGTGCCCGGCCTCACACAGGGCTGGGGCACGCTCAGCCCAGGCTTCTCCCTGCCACTCAAGCGAGGTGCTTTCACCTTGCACTGCGGCACTGATGGCCTCCTCTCTGCTGAGCTCAGCTCTTCCGGGCAGCAGCAGGCAGGCAATTAAGCAGGCAGTCAAGGGCTCCTCCAAAGCAGGCAGCCAGAATGAGTGAGGAAATGTTAGAGAGACACCAGAGGCTGAAGTTTGGGTGGTGGCAGACTCGCTACATGGATCTGCTGTGGATTTGGATCATGCTCCCCCTGCTCTTCCAGGCCCCAAAGCCATATCTGGGGGTGCTTGTGCCTTGGTGCAAGATAGAGGAGCTGGGCAACTGGTTCTTGAAATCTGCCCAAGGCATCCAGGGATGGCTCCCTTCTTCTGAGACAGGGAGGTCACTGGTGTGACTTGTGCATCTCCTCTGGAGACTGGCATGCTGCAACCTAGGAAAAAAAATGCCCTGTATCCTTCAGAGCATTCAGACACCCCAGTCCTCGTGCCTACCTCTCGGGAGGGTCGTGTTGTTCGATGTCTTAGTAACAACTCCAAATTTCCTGCTGCAACAGGGCTCCTCATCCCCCTGGCACGGCCACAAGCTGATGGTGGTCCCAGAAGCCAGGGCTGGGAGCTACACCACCTCCAGCACACTGGCACAAGGGAGAACACCACATCACTGGCACTTCTCATTCTCGGGGCTGTACCTACACCTGAATTTATCATCACAGGCTTCTTGTGAGAAGTTGGGCAGCCTGCAGACAGTGACTTGCTGTTCACAGGCTCTTCCTAAGGGCCAGGTCAGGCCCACCATTTTCTTTTGGTTGAGGCTTCTCTTTGATGTCACCCTGGTTGCTGTTGTAAGATCCATCCTGCGTGTTGTCCTCTGCATGTGTTTTTTTTTTTCCTGTGGGGTCACTTTTAGGTGCTGGGTTCACGTACATCACAGCCTTGTGGTATGATAGTGGTCACAAGTTCCAGCACCTCGTTTGTGTCTCATCTTTTTTTAGTTTGAAAGAGTTTTGAGGGGATATTTTTTTAGATGTCAAGGCACAGAGGCTTATGGTTAAAGGGAAAAATATTACTAAAGACAGGACACCCATTTTTTGAAGCCACTTGCCTATTGGCTAGAAGAAACAGCCATAACCCCCATGCTGGGACCTGGTCTTGCCTGCAGGACCTGGGCATATCTGTGCCTCTGTCGTGGGGCTGTGGAACAGGGTTAAAGCCAGTTATTTGCAGACCTGTCTGAGCAAGCCACAAACACCAAGTACGCCTGGTATCTGCAGCAGTGTTGGGAGCCCCACTCCTGGCAATGTCTGTTCCTAGCAGGGCTGGGGGAGTCCTGGGTAGGCTGGAGCTTGATTTACTCCAAGAATCTAAGCCTGCCATGTGTGTCACGGGATGCTGTGAACATCCCCCTGTTTCTCCTGACCTCAAGGAGGGATCGCTCAAAGCATCTGTCGAGGGGAGAGCCCAGATAAGCATAGGAAACATGGGCAAGGTCAAATGCTTTTCCCCATTCTTTCTCCCTTCCACCCTTTGCCAGAGATGTTGCAAAGGGTTTTCTCATGTCTCAGGCCCTTTTCTCTGAAGCTATTTCTCCTCCTTGTTTCTACTCCGCATTCATGTTGCTCTCTTCCCCATCTCCTCCTGAAAAGCTGCGCTCCTGTTTCCTGCTGCCTCTCAGCTGGTTGGGGACTGGGGGAGACGGGAGTTTGGAATGGGACACCAGTTCCTTGAGCTTGTCAGTGTAATTGTGTTTGATTGATGGAGATTTAACATTTAGTGTTATAAAAAGAAATGAACAAAATGAAAAAAAAAAAAAAAATTTGTATTTCTCCTACTGGTTTGTAAATATTACAAGAGTTACATGAGATGTCTGGTAATGTCCAAGCAGAGGAACAAAGACTTAGATTTAATATATGGCCCCATACCTGCTAGCAGATTTCTAACCCTTTTCAGATGACCAAGAGGAGGGGTGAAGGCAAGTCTTTCTGAAAGGAACTGGACAGGGGAACTGCAGTCACGCCGAGCCACATGAGCTCCACGCATGACTGTAGCGTGTTGCTTGGGGTGTGTGTGTCTGGTCAGACGGAAAACGAAGCAGACGCCTGTCTCTGAACGGCTGGGAAGGGCGATGTGGGATGCTCCAGCCGACACCTGTATCTTGGCAGTTGTGTTCATTTTTCTTTGTTTGCAGTCCGGCCCCTCGCGGGTGTGTTGCTCAGTGGTGCACTCCCCTCCTCCCCTCCTCCCCGCTTTCTTCACCAGTGAAGTTGTGTCGCCCCATGCTAGCACCAAGTGCATGTTAACGTGCCATTCATGAAGATTCCATTGGTGACATGCATTGTGTCGAGAGTTAGTCTTTGTCTGCACACCTTTCTCATGCCACTGACTGTTCACCGCTTGGGCAGATCTCTCGTGTACTGCTGCTTGCCCCACTTTTGGTCAAAGTATATCCAAGCCCCACCAGCTCTTCTTAGCTCCAGGTGCATCCAGACCACGCCCCCAAGCCACCTGTCTGAGCAATCCCATTTTAAAAACCCAAGCTCATAGCATGGACAAAGTCACCGCCAATATCCACGTGGTCTCCAGGCTGAGTGGAAGCTGCACATCTGGAAGGAATTTGGGGGAGCAACAGTGAGTCGTGATGATTCAAGAACATTTGGAGAAGAGTATCTGGGGAGTCAGAGGAGCTACTTTACAGCTGTCCTTCACAGCCCTTCCACCAGGTGATGTTTCAGCTCAATCTTTGTGCAGTGCTTTACCACTTCACCCCTCCCTGATGAGGGAATCTATGAATCTATGGGCACAGGGAAACAGCTCTTCTCCTCACAACCCCTCTCGTACCTCTGCTTCCTCTCCTCCAAGCACACTGATCCACAGCCCAAATCTTCATGGTGCTTGATGTGATGTAGCAACTTACACCGAGGATGGCTAACCAAGACAGTCCTACAGAGGAGATGCTGGGGGGGGTGTGAGCAGTTCTCTCTCTCTCTCTCTTCTGATGGTGCACAACCTTACTGCTTCTCTGATTCGAGTATGCAAAACTTCTTGAGTTAGTTAGGGTTGCCAGGAGCAAACTGTCCCATGGAAAGAGCAGAACCTCAGGCAGGGAAGTGATGGAGAAACTGGATGGCAATTTTCAAGATGTGATGCCGGTGGAAAAGGGTGGGGATGAGTGCTGGCGATCAATCATCCATGTGCAGAACTCCCAGGTTTACCAGTGAGGAGACAGCGGCCTCTCAACACTACTCTTAGAGTGGCTTCATTTCCACTGGGATGCCCAGAAGACTTTTTTTTTTTAACTGCATGACTCCTGCTGACTAAGAGCTGTGTCACACCATTAAAACCTCTTTCTCTTTTCCTTCTTGTAACTTGCTAGAACGATGTTCGGGCAACTCCTACAGCCCCCCTCAATTTTGCTTGGTGGTTGGCTCCCATTAGGGCAATATGTGGTGTTTGCTTGTTGATTCACTCACCATGACAGGAAAGCAGAAGTCAGCTTGGTGATGATGCGTTGGTATGGTCCTCTATATCTCTGTGGCTTGGGGCAATGTGTTTGAGGCAAGGAGACCAGCCAAGGCAGGGCTTGGGAAAGAGGAGCAGCTTTTCCTAATTAGCCCAGATAGGTGGCAAGCAAAGGGTCCTTCACTTACTGCAGGCTCAGGTTAGCTGGTGCCACAGCAACTCAGCCTGCCCTGCAAGCCTTGTAGAAGTGCCCAGGCAAGGGAGGAGGAGGGGGCAGTGCAAGTCAGGAGGACATGACTGCAGCACGGGTGGTGGGGCTGCATGCACAGCAGGGCTCCATGGGCTGGGGAAGGGGCAGAGATCGCACCCAAGTCCCCGGGTAGGGCAGGACCTTCCTTCCCTGCCTGTGCTCCCGGTGTATCAAGCACTCACCTCCCAACCCACCCAGGACATGCACACCACGCTGCGAGGGGTCTCGGTGAGCGATGCAGTGTGAGACCGCAGTGGCTCCAACCTTGCCCCAGGAACAGGCGTGTGGATGTTTCTGTAGATAATACATGGGCCACGGATGGAGATGAGGAGCAAGACCACGTAGGAGGCAGCCAGTGAGGAGAGCACCTTCTCCAAAATTATGACGTTTGATCCGTCCCCATTTCGGCCACGCACAGGCACACACGCACACCCCTGCGACCTCTACCGCACAGATGCTACAGAAGTCCTCATGGCTACCATCCAGGCGCTCTCCTTTCCTATGCCCTCCATCACACACACAGCCAGACACATGCTCCTCCACTTGCTCCTGGCGGTGGCTCTGTCTGCCCACACAGCCACATGGTGACCTCCTGAGGAGACCAGGAGGAAGCACACGTATGTCTGCACCTGTGGGTGTGGGAGCACATGCATGTGCAAGGAACGGGAGGAGGGGGCAAAGACCAGGAACCTGCCTCCACAGTGCCACCGTCACCTCCCAAAATCTTTCAACTTTCCTAGCTGGAGCCAAGTTTCATCCTCTAGACCTTGAGAATGAAGGCCAGTCCCTTCTTCTTGCTACACGGTGGGGTGGTTAGAACTCTCCTCATTAACAGTGTTATATACATATAAATATATATATATATCTATATCTTTATATATATTTTTCCCCAGCACTGTAGACATGAGCTGAACTTCTCTTTATCGAAACGAGAAAACGGCCATTTTATTTTTTGCCATTGGTTTGTTTTTGGAACTAGCTCTGTGAAAGAAAATTTTAAAAGCGCAAGTGTGTGTGTAAAAGAACAGATCAAAAAAACAAACAAAACAACCCAACGAATGAACAAAACCCAGTGATGGAAATAAAAGAAGCTTTTTATTTTTTCTTTTCTCAATGTATTTAACTTCTGTTATCTCGTTTCTGTTTCTTTACATGTATGAATGCTCTGCTCTTCTGTGATCTTAAAAAAATACAAAAAAATACAAAAATTAAATAAACGTGAAAAGGAGGTAATGTTTCTTCATTTCCCTTCCCTTTATTGCATACCTCAGCTTGTCTCCTCTCTGATCATGCGTAGTGATGACTTTCCGACCCAACCAGGGGACATGGGCCTTCCTTGGTGGGGCAAGTTGGTGCAGGGCTACAAGCAGGGCAGGGGCAAGTGGCTGGGGCTGAGGGTATTGGGTCAGCCCTAGCAGACTGGCCCCTGGGGTGCAGTGCCTGGGGGTGAAGGGAGAAAGCTGGCTGTAAATGGGCATGAATTGGGGCTGCCAGGAAGAGATGAGGGGTGCAGAGGCTGTCCACAGCTGGGTGGCATGGGCTATACTGCAGCGCCCAGCCCTGAAGGCAGCACTTGCCTTTGGCTCTTGCAAATAAACACAACTTTTTAAAATTAAACAGTGTAACTGTGTGTATGCAGGTAGAGATCAGGTTCAAGGTTGCAGTCTCAGGAAGGGAAGAGAATGGAAGCAAATTGAAGGAATGGGCTGGGGCTGAGTAGCACAGGAGAGCACAGGTGAAGAGCATCAAAAGGCAGAGGATGATGGTGGAGATGGAGGAGGTTGGCCAGTGGGGAAGGAAACAGGAAATGCTGGCCAAGAAAACAGAGCAGGACACAGCACTGGAGAGGCCAGGTTTTATGTTGAGGAGGGAGAGGGAAGACAGGGGAATGGAGAGGGCCTAGGGCTTGGAGTGAGGGCAGCCAGGATAAGGGGGAGTGGGGTGGGAATCTTGTCTCATGAGCACAAGCAGGTGTGAAAAGAATAGGCTAGATGGAAGAGAGCAGAAGGGAGGGGACAGCAGAGTAGCCAAGGCAAGTTTACAAGAAAACACAGCCAAAGGGGTGAAGAAACCAAGATGCAAGATCCATGGAGTCTGGTGAAACGAGAAAGCAGCACCTGGGATATCCTAGCATGAGGTACAGAGACCCAGGACATCTACAACCAAATCACTCCAGTGGTGGGATCTCTCCAGCATCTAAGTGCCACCTGGGTGTCACAGCTTTGTGACACCTTCCTCGTCCCCCTGGGACAACCTGTATTTCCTGGTGGGCCTCGGAGACACAGGTAAATATGCTCCTGCATGAGGCAGCCATGCGGCTGGGGTCCAGGCCCTGGCTGTGTGTCAGGGGGGCTGGGGCAGCCCAGGGTTACAGCCCTGAGGAGGGGACAGAGCAGTGTGTGGCTGCACCTGAGGAAAGGCAACCCCAAAGAGCAGTAGAACCAGCTACACATGGCCGAGCCCATGGGAGAGCCTGGCTGCAGTGCTGAGAGGGACCTGGTCTGGTTCTCACACGCTGCTGGAGCATGAAAAAATAACAGGGCTTCTTATTTCTGGGTCTGCTCTGCCCAGCATCTGTGTGGTGCCTTCACTGCCCTTGTTTCACTTTCCACCTTCTCCTCTACCACCTGTTTACAGTCTGCTGGGGCACAGACTCAAGACCTATGTATAAAACAGGGCTATATTCTATGAAAACATGTATCTAATTTTGTTTCTGGGACATAACACATAGGACAATGGAAGCCTTGTTTTCAGTAGAGTACAGACCTGCTTCTTAAATTGCATGAAATTAAATAATAAACTGGTGTCACAAGCTCAGTGTGCTAAGCAGAGGTACGTCAGTAAGCACTAGGTGCAAGCAGGACTGTGAATATGAATGTGGCTAGTGCTTACCACACCTTTGCCATTCAAGAATGAGAAGAAGCAATGGATTATGAACCCTCCTCCATTGCTGTCGTCTCCTCCAGGGCACTGGGAGAGCCGAGGGGTGGCAAGGCAGGGGACACTGGACCTGTGTGTTGGGATATCAGGGTTCTGTACGGATATGAAGGTCAGTACTGAGCTTTGTTGGCCAGTCGCTGAGGTGGAAACAGGCCCCAGTTCTGGTGCTGTACGTGGATATCACCAACGCTACCAGGGATCCACTTCATCTGAACACACCTGGAAAAGCTGTCGCTGCCTTTTCACCTCCAGCACCTTAAAGCTGAGGCTAAGAAGATGACAAAACCCTGGCAAGCACAACCTCTCTTTTCATTAACATTTTAAATGGTTATTTTTAATGGTACATTTAACTAACGCTAACTTATCCATGGGAAGAGAATTTGGCTGTTAACACTGGCATCTGCTTAACAAACTGAAGCTCTGCATTTGGTGAGGCGTGAGCATAACACCAATAGTATTACTTGCTAACAGCAGACTCATTAGCATTAATTGCTGCGTTTACTACCACAAAGAGCTTTCTGTATCTGTAACAGCAGTTATTAGATGTACCCCATTCTCATTGGAAAAGGTACATAGGAAATTATTAGCAGTGATGCAGACCTACTGGTAAATGAGATCTAAATCCTTGGCACTTACCGTAACTCAAAACTTCCAGAAGAGTAAGAAAAGTGACTGTGTTCTTCATCTTTCCTCAGTGGAGAACTATGTTCAAACACGGCTAAATTGCAATTGGAAATGAGTTTAAGGGTTATGGTGCTCAAAGGCCACAGGAAAACGTGTGTCCATAAAAATATCTCGCAATTCAGCCAAGACTGGCTTTTGCTATCCAAAGCAAGCATTTTCAGGATGGGCAAAGAGCCAGGCTTAGAGGGATAAACTGCGGTGGATAAAACATCTGATCAGGTTTGCCACAACAGTGCACTGGTTGGCACTATTAAGATTGACAGGCCTTGTCACTTGTGCCCATCAGCAGCTGGAATCCCCAAGGCAACATATTTGTCTTAAAGACACCATATTTTGATGCTTCGGATGTGAAATAGGGTTGTTTTTTTTTCAGAAGATGTCTCAAAATGTGACACTTCAGGCTGGGTTATAAATCAGGATGCACTGAAGAGTCTACAGGGGTACTCCTTGCAACCTATTCCCTGAACAAGTGAACATGTGGCGAGTGAGCAAGCTGAAATGACCAGAGGGAGAAGTTTTGACTCCAGCTGGGCTTTCACCATCCCCTCCCACCAAGCCATACGCCATCTCCAAACCCCCATTCTCTCAGTGTCACGCAAGGGCAGAGGAACCACCAGGCATCCTGGCACAGAAGCAGGAGGTCCTCTTCAAGACTGATGGTGGGAGTCCTGCCTCCACCTGGCTGACCAGCAGCCAGCACCTTTCCACTGCCACCCAGCAGAAGCACACAAAGCGCTCCTAGAGGTGCCCAAGTCTGCAGCAAGGAACAGCAAAAACCAGATCATATAAGAAGGCAGCTCAGTCTCTGGATATAAGGGTGGCACAGTCATCATTACTGGAAGAGCTCTGCCTCAGGGACATACCGCTCACTCGAAGTGTCTTCAGTTGGCACAAATTGTGGAAAACACAGGCACTGTGCATTCAGCCAGAGCACACATGAGCTGGTGGCGAGCTTGAGGTAAGACTATGCGTCTTCTCTGCAACGTGGTTTGGAGAGCCTGCTCAAACAAAGGCTGTCATGCCTGCCTGTGGGCCCATCACACATTTGTAGAGTGGCCTGAAAACTTGTCTGGTCATGGAGAACCTCTTCCAGCTCATCTCATTGGTTGCTGAGTTTACTAGTTTGTTTATCAGAGCCAAGACAACCCCCTTCCCAGCACCACTGCTTGTGTGTTGGTTGTCTTATGATACTCACTGTATCTTTCCATAAATGTTACTTTACCCAGCTTGAGGTCTTCCTTGCACTCCTTCTGTGTAGTCTCCTGTCACCGATCAAAGCTCTTCTCCACGGCACAGAAATTAAGATGTCTGGAGGTTCACTGCTGAAGGCAGCTGCTAGAGATCGCCCCAGCTGCACCTCTGGTACCCCAACCTGGCACCCAGCCTCTCACTGCGACTGAGGCAGAGCAGGGACCGGTACTGCTGGTTCCATCCATGGCACATGGTGGAGATGAACACAGTGCCATGCTTTGGAAGCAAGCTGCTCCTGCTGGTAGCGGTGCATTGCTCTTCTGCAAGGTTTTTCCGGGGCGCCGGCTGGCACAGGAGAGCTGCTGACAGGCATCAGGGCAAGCCTCCCACGCTGCAGGATGGGGTTCCAGCTGACACGGCCCTGGTACCCGTCAGTAACAGTCGTACTGTGTGCGCTGTGAGTGGGACAAATGAGATCATACGCCTCAGCCCAGTGAGGCCTTTTGACTGCCAAGTGATCTGGCTGCGAGAGGGATGGGTCTGGAAGCGTGTCCTCGGGCTGCTGTCTCTTTGAGGATGATGTAGGGGGGCGTCTCTCTGGGGAGCTGCACCTCTTGGTGTGCTTGGAGACCCAAGGGCTGGGGAGAAGACATGGGGATCTGTGCTGCTGGCTGCAGAGAAGGAATTACTTCCCCGGGGGGCACAACTGAGCGCCCCTCTGTAAGGAGTCTGCAGCTGAGAGTCATCTACTTGCTCCAAGAGAACCCTCAATCAGCGTGAGGGCAAGGACCGCAGGCTCAGAAGGTATTTGCAAGGCTGTCCAAAGCTTTCCTGCTCTGCTCTCGTTACCCCCATTAGCTAATTGAAATGGAAATAAGGACAGAGACAAACGTCTCTGGAAAGGGGCTGTAACACTTGCAAATAAAGGTTTGCAACTTCTCTAAAGCACCTCCCAGGCCCCCTGCCCCAGGCAGCTACCCCAGGCAGTGATGAGTCCTCCAGGCAGCAGAGGGATGGGGCGTCCTGAGGCACCCAGATCAGACTCACAGGAGCTGATTGCAACTGAGGGATGGCAGACTTAACAAACCGAGAGGCGCTAAGGATAGTGACTGAAGAAAGGGAAAAAAAGGCAATGGAGGCACTTTGTGCTTCTAATGATGGCTGCCATGCGGCAAATGAGGCAAAATTAGCACCAGACAGACAAATGGAAACTCATTTCAAGAGGCACTGAATGAGACAAAATTGCAATGAGAAGCTCAGGAGATTAACTCCGCAGCAATGAAACTTTTTCTCCCAAGCAATCCAGTGCTTCTGCACACTCCCTTGCTCACTATCTGTACCCTCAGAGCCCTCCCTCCCTGCCCTTTAGCAATCCCCCTCGCTCTTACAGAAATACTGGAGAAGAAAACATTCATTCAGAGC